ATTGAGTTAATGGATTGAAATGCAGCATTTATAAAAATACAATCACAATATCTGGTCAATGGGGAATCAGGAATCCATGGTTTCTCTAGAGAAATCAGACCCATGTCAACTCAATATGCACTCCTACAAGACAGATTTTTGTGACACATAAAGGAACAGATATGAAGCAAAATGCTGAGTGAGCTGGAAGGAAATAGATGGCGAAGAGGACTGCAAAAAAATAAAATATGACGTCAATATAGCTGCCTGCCTACCACCCACTTGCCTGCTTTCTCCTTATTTTATTTTGTATTATATGAAATTAACTCTAGGAACCCCTATGTTAGGACACTTGTCATTTGTTCCTACATCTAACCTATTAGTTAATATTAGGGCTCTGAAAGTAATTATTCAGTACAGCAATCATTTACAGATGATTATTAACTTTTAAACAACCAGTGGATATAGCATGGTGATCAGTATTATTTTATCAGTGTTACCTTGAGCTACTTCACTTCCTGAACTGATAGGTGCTACACTCCAAAGTGTTTGTTGGAATGCTGCATCAACACGCAAGCTGTCATTGCCATAAGATAAATGCTGCAACAGTTGGAGAGAGAAAAACACACTCAATTCTGTTCTCAAAAATATTAGAATATAGTACACTTACATCAAAATAGATGGATTTACATTTAACACAAATGTTCAGTTGCCTTTAGAAGAATTACGATACATGGATATCTTTACACTGAATAGTACACTGTTGGAGCTTTTTGTTGAAGTCCTATCCACTCTTTTAGGATTTTCATGTCCCCAGTGATATTTATGTACTAAATGCTATTCAGCTGCTGACTGAAGAAGTTGGCATGAGACAGGAACCAGCAGTGAAAGTGTAGTGCAAGCCACTGAGTGATTCAGGCCACAATCCTAAGAAAATTTTCCTGGGAGTAAGCCCCACTCTATAACATGGGACTTACTTCTGAGTAGACATGCTGAGGATCAGTCTATCAGAGTCAATTCAAAGCATTCTGTTCTGGGAACATTGTGTGAGCATTCCCCTTATCATCTCCACTATACTAAAATAGCTGATTCTTCAATAGAAGTTTTAGAGTTTGTTAGAATTGGTCAAGTGGTACCCATTGAATATTTTAGAAATGCATATAGTACAAACCATCCAGAGCCAAGTGGTGTATGGGGAAGGACCTATAAAGAATTCCCCACAGTGTATTTCCCTTCTCTTGACGTTATCAACATAGCCTGCAAGCATTAATTTGCTCCACCCATTTCCTGAGTACTGTGGAGGAATAATTTTTAAATTAAGAGGTGACAAAAAGGTACATTCCAATATTTATTAAGAAAAATGATACAACTCACTTGAGAGAGATTGTGGTCTTTATTCAGGCCAATAATTACAGCAGCACCCACTCAATGTTAAAGTATAAAAGAAGGTAGACTTTTGTCTCCATAGATATGGCACCTTTCACAGTGTCACATTTGAAGAAGAATTTTTGGGAAATTTTATCAATGTATGATATTCCCCATGGAATGCCTATTCTTGAAATAATTCAAATTAAGAGTCAAAAGAGACCCTAATATAAATGGCATTTGGATATGGAAAGCTAATGAACCGGATGGCATGTGCATCCTACCAACACCAGTTGTTGATGTCTTACAGGCAAATGAAATATGGTCAGACTGGATATGTGCGTTCTGTATTTAAGCAATATTAATAAAGTAAAAACTTTCCATGTACCAACTACCCAGAGGAAAATTGTCAGAATTTTAGCTGAGGCAAGGCCCAAGGAAAAAGTTGTACAGGGCTTGTTTGTTTATTGAGACAGAAACTAAGTCTCAGAAGAGGGGAACTGTGGAGTAATTTAATATGGGCCTGCGTTTCTGTCTAACCACCATTAAGAATCAATGCTAATAGATCTTTGCAGTACAGCTGATGTGACATTCATGTAAACTATGGTTGACTGGTTCCTAGTGCCCGTAGCCTTTCAGTGTATAAAAGAATAGTTTATATTTTTCTAGGGTTATAATTTTTCTTCGCTGGCACCTGCAGTCTCCACAAGGCTTGTGTGAAGGACTGTAGTGCATGACCTACTACCAGTAATAGTCACATAAACAGGGGTCACAGCTACACACTGTATTTCCTGTGGTCAAAATAAAATCAACAGTTAATTTTCTGAAGGCTCTTAGATTCTCAGAATGATATGATGTGCTATGACATCTATGATTCTCTGTTTATCACATAACATCCTTTCCTATCTATGATGAATAAAGAGTAAAATTGTATTAGATACATTCTTTTCTTAGAAATGTGTTAGCCTTACATCAGCCATTTTTGTATAAGTAGTTAAAGATTAGTCTCCTCTGGGCTGGCCATCAACAGTTCCTGCTGGGACCTTGATGACCAGTCCAGAACGTTCTGTATCTCTGAACCTCTTTGGTTCATACATGTGCACTAATTCAAATATTGGGTTTTATGAAATTATTGTATGCTGAATATTGAAACATTATCTTTTCTGTCTCAAAGACATATAATTGACAAAGTGCTTTCTGTCTTAAAAGCTTCTACTGGAATAAAATAGTTTTGTCATAAAACAATTGTCTCTCCATACACTAGGTTCAGCCCCCTGCCAGTCTCTACCCAACCGATAAAAGAACTCAGGGGAACCGGGGGTCCCAGGAATAGTCCTGGGCTTTAGAATCCATGAGAATGGAATGATTCTCATAATAATCTGCTGTGAAATAGAGGGGGAGAAAAACTAGCACAAGTAGAGAAAAGCTACAATGAAACTACTTATTTATAACGTTTGGTTATCATTCTTGGGAGGGAAGGCTGCGTAGTACAGTCTGATCTCGTCAGATCCCAGAAGATAAGCATGGTTGGTACTTGGAAGGGGGACCACCAAGAAAGACTCTGCAGAGAAAGGCAATGGGAAATCACCTCTGTTTCTCACTTGTCTTGAAAGTCCCTTGCTGGGGTCACCATAAGTTAGCTGTGACGCACACATATTATTATTACCTGACAGTATATCCTATTAGCTATAGAGAGACTTACTTCTGAGTAAGCAAAGGGTTTCCAATTTTGCACTAACTCCTAAAGTTTAATACCAGCAGTGTATCAGCATAATTCTATCAAGAGTTAAAGGTAAAGGTTCCCTTGCTCGAAAGCCAGTGGAATCCGACTCTACGGTTGCGGTGCTCATCTCCGTTTCAAAGTCGAAGAGCCAGCGCTGTCCGAAGACGTTTCCGTGGTCATGTGGCCGGCATGACTAAACACCAAGGCGCACGAAACGCTGTTACCTTCCCACCGAAGTGGTACCTATTTATCTACTTGCAATTTCTTGCTTTCAAACTGCTAGGTTGGCAGGAGCTGGAACTAGAGATGGGAGCTCACTCCATCATGCGGCACTCAGGTCTCAAACTGCTGAACTACTGACCTTCCACAGCCTGCAGTTCAGCGTCTTAACCACTTGAGCCACCGCAGCTCCACCTATCAAGAGTTATTTCAGACTAAACTCTCTGGATTTCAGTGGGCTTAAAATGGAGTGTCTCTAATGGAATTGTATGGTAAACCATCTTCCTGGTCTAGCATCCAGAAAGAATCTGTTTGTTTCCATCATGACCCTAGAATTCCTTGGTGGTCTTCCATCCAAACACTGACCAGGGCCAACCCTGCTTAGCTTCCAAGATCTGAAAAGATCAGGCTAGCCTGGGCTATCCAAGTCAAGGCAGGCAAACATTATTACTGCCTTGTTTCAAAATCAGAAAAATAAAAAGAAAACTATGCACCATGTGTTTCAACTTCTGATTTAAATGACCAGTTGGATGACTATATTCAAATAACTAAATACTGAGAATTTTACTTTCATGCCTTAGTTGTTTATCAGTTTTAAAAACTATTGCCTATCTAATGACTAGGCACTGTGTAGAATAGGATACTGGATTACAGCAGGCCACTGGACTAATCCAGCAGTGCTCTTCTGTTCCTGTTGTATTTGAGCTGTATCCAGTGATCAGGAAAACAGAAATTTGTCCATAATGGACATATATACAACTTATTGCTATGCTAACATACTCACTTCTCCCCTTGCCCCCTCCTATCACTTACAGAGCATAACTGAAAGTTTCAGAAACCACGAATCAGGTTTCCATTTACTGTGACACCTGAATGCAGGTATACAGGTGCAGCCCTGCCAGGAGACAGGGGCTGGAGTTCAGCAGGTCAGGCCACAGTCCAGGGTGCAAAGAAGAACCAGGGTCTAGTCCAAAAGTCAGGGGTTCCAGAGAGCAGGTATGCCAAATCCAGTCTAGGGTCAAGGAATTCAGGCAGCAAGTCCAAATCCAATCCAGGGTCAGGGGTTCCAGAAAATCCAATAGCCAGGTCCAGTCAAAGGGTCAAGGTTCCAGCAATCCAGTAACAGCAAGGTCAGTGGTTTAACAGCAATGTGTACTTGTTGTATCCACAAAACTGCTGTTTCTACCAGCTTATTTTATAGCCAAGTTTAAATAAACTACACTCCTAGCCAATTCCTTGGCAGTCATCCTAAAACTACTCATCTGTCTCATCAGTTAACAGCTGACAGGCCATGAGTCCCACACCTCTTGCAATTCAGCTTGCCTCTGACAGTGTAGGTGCTGCAGGGATGTAAGTGACCTACATGGGCTGGGAATAGCTTTTGAAGCCTTGTTTACTGCTTCAGAGCTGCAAGGCATTGGCTTGGTTTCAGCTGTAGGCTGTAACTTCTGCTCAGCTGGTAACCTGATCTCTTGTTGCTCTTCTCCTGTCTCAGAGCCAGCTGTAGCCAATTGCTCAATTACTGGCTGAGACCCAGCTGCAGGTAGTTCTTCATCTCCGGAATCTGTGCTGTCACTGAGTACCAACTGACTTACAACTATAGGTGCCTGGGTAAACTGGAACTTGTTTCCCTCCAAATAACAGGATTCTAAACCAAAGATCCTGGTTCTGGGGTGGGAGTTCGGGATGAAGAACAAATAACAATTCACCCCAGGTGCAAGTATCTTGTGCTTGATTCAAGACTTCCCAACCTGAGACTGCTCTAATTTATATTTGTGAGTCAAAGCACACTAATTTTGCTCAAGGGTTAACATGAATATTAGCAAGTTTGCTCCAGCTTGCTGGTGTCTATAATTAGGCTTCCTCACAGACATCATCCTCATCTCTTTCAAGGTCAGATTCAACAATGTGACAATTAGCACTCAGTTCAGTAACTAGATGGGAGGAGGGAGTCAGGAGCAAATGTCATTGTCATGGGCGTGGATGAGGAAGAGCTGCGAGAGCTTGCAGAAACCGCAGCTGGCTCCTCTGAAGCAGCAGAGGAGGACAGCTGGCAATTGCCTGTAACACCAGCCTTCACACCTGGCCCAGATAAGGGGGAAGAACGGCAAGCTGAAAGTCCTCCTGACTCACCCCCACGTGTGACTTATTTAAGGGATCAACTGCAGCAAAACTTAACAACCAGGCAACAAGAGGCCAGGCTACAGGGAAGATGTTCGGCCAGCCCAGAGTTCTTACAGGAGTCTGGGCAATCGTGCAGTTGCCTGATTGGTAGCAGCATTTAACTCCACACTCTGGGCAGTACGCCTTGTGGAAGAAGCGAGTCAGCTTTGTGCCGCTTGCATCCACTTTGGCTCAGCTCTTGCACCTAGACCTTCAGATCTCCTGGCTTTGGACTTGGCTGTATGTTCCTGGCTCCTGATCCCGGCTTGGCTTTGAGACTATGCTTCTGGTTAGTGATTTTTGGACTAGGCTCTGTGTTTCTGGTTCCTGACCCCAGCTTGGCTTTGGACTTTGCACTGTCTTCTTCACTCCTGACCTTGGCTTGTTCTGGACTCCCTTTGACTGGCACCCCAGCCTGTGACAGTCATAATCTTCTAGAGGGTTCCATCCAGCTAGCTCCCTGATTGGATTTGGGAGATGACCTGATGCCAGATGGCCAAGCCATAGGGAAGAAGGAGGCTATGCTGACTTTATGATTTGACTGGGCAGTGGCACTGACTATGCTAAGTGTCATTGAAATGGATTGCTACATAGATAACATTTAAGCCTCCAGCTCAGACTCTGATATTCTAAATGGTGTGCCATCAGGGGTCATTTCCTGCAGGAGCAGAGCTCTTGCAGTAAAGAGCACAGGGGGTGGGCACATGCAACAAGCCCCACCCCCTGCTCCCAGCAGCCCTCAGTCAGAGCAAGAAGCAGCCAGGTATGTTGCAGAGCCCCACCCCCACCCCCTGGTCCAAAACAATCCAGTGGCACCTTTAAGACAAAGTTTTATTCAGATATAAGCTCTCCCTCCTCTGCGAGGACAGATCTGCACATTCCCCCCCCCCAATAGCTAGCAATCCAAAATAGTCCAGTGGAGCCTGAGCAGTGGGTGTTGCCTTCTGATACACTTCTAGTGATGTCAGAGGGGGGTGGCATATGCAAATGTTATGGAAATGAGTTGTGCTAATGAGCTCCTGCACCTCTTTTTCTATGAAATGACCCCTGTGCACCATTTAATGCCAGGTACCCAAGAATTAGATAGAAAGTTAGGCTTTGTTATTTTCTTACTATTGAATTGTTGAGACTGTGTTGCCTAGTGATATTCCTCTCTTTTTTTAATCATTCTATAAACCTTTATATATTTTTCAAAGGTTTGGTTTCTTGTGTGTACTTAGCCTCAGCCACCTACAGATCTGAGCACTGCCTGCCTGCCAAAGGGGTGGTGGTTCAGGGGAGCCCAGGTCTAGGTTCTTGACAATATTACTATTAGGATACCTTGAATATTATAGCAAGTTATTGAAAGCCTTTGTTGTGGGTATATTATTTATGCTGTTTAATTTGTATTGCTGGCTTCATTGCATGTTTTGTCCTACTGCTTCCAACTGCTGATATTTTTTAAAGCACACTGCTAAGTCATTAACAATCTGAATCTGACAGCAAAGGTCACATTTTATTATCAACAGGGTTCCAATGTGCAAAACATAAGCTGCCGTAACAATAATCTACGCACAGCGAATATTCCTTACATTTGAAGAGAATGGGGCACCCATGCACAGATGGAACTGTGCATGAGAACAGAAAAATAGCCTGTATGTATGCTGAAGTTGCAAAACTGGAGCAACAATCTATGAACTCAAAAGTCAATCAGCAGACAGTCACCCTATATATTCCATTAAAATATTGAAAACACTTATCTAAGTTTTTTTAACTTTTATTTAAATATTATTCTACACAAATGCCATTAACCAAAATACAGTAACTACAAAATACAGTAACCAAAATACAGTAACTACAATCAAAAACCACATCGGAATCAATGAGAATCTTAACAATTCAATTAGAAAACCATCTACAGTTCAGTATAACATCAACAGCCTTAAGTAGTTCATTGTATTCATGACTTCCTTGTTGTCTGTAAATATTAGCACTACTCTGATAGTACTCTGGTAACATCCTTTTTAAACAAAAATGGGTGTGAAGCAAAACAAATACTATAAAGAAGTGCTTGATCCTCTTTGGTACATGTACACTACTGCACAGCCTGACTTGCTGAAATGCTCAGGCATCAAAAGAAGATTTCCTTGAGAACCCTCAAGCCATGCCTCTAGTGTTCTTATGCTGCTACTGAGAAAGAGACAACAGATTCAAGCAGCTATCATTTTACAGTAAAATCAGTATTCAGTGCTGCTGTACAAATGCTACTAGAAAAGGAATGCTGAGTGCATTATAGAAAAGGATTTTTCACAATCCTTATGTTTTCGTATCCATCAACAACCCTCTTAAAAGTAACTAATGCTTCTTGAATGTTTGTTTGCGTGTAAAGACAAGGCTGAACTATATACACCTGTTGCGGCAAAACATTTTATTTATTTCCCACCCCTCGGCTCTTCCACAACATGGGGCTCAGGGTGGCTCACAACATTTTAAAAGACATATATTGGAACCATAAGGTTCATCATTGAAACAGTTAAAATCTTCACATTCTCCTGGTACCTAGAAATATTCCAAAGAGAAAACATCTGGCAGACCAATAACCAGTGACAATAAAATGATCACCTAAAGTCCTGCTGGAACAATTCTGTCTTACACACCCTACAGAACCTTGGCAGGTGCCGTAGGGTATGTGTCTCCTCTGATGATAAAGCATTCCGCCAGAATGGGGCTATGATGGCGGAAGCAAGATGGACTTTCCAAGGACCAGGAGCTGCCAAAAGATTGCACAATGATGAACACAAGTCGTGTGAGGGGTTATATCAGGAGAGACAGCCCTTCAAGTATGCCAGTCCCAGATCATTTAGGGCTTTAAAGGTTATAACCAGTACCCTGAACCTAATCCAGAAACAAATTGGCAACCAGTACAGTGGAAGGTGTCCAAAGACAGGACGGCCTGGCGGGAGCTGGTCCATGGGGTCGCGAAGAGTCGGACTCAACTGTGCGACTGAACAACAGCTGCCTTGAGATTAGCTGTATATGGGTAGACCAAAATGAGCTGGTGTACAAAGAAAAACACTGACCTCACCACTGTGGATGCCTGTTTGTCCAACTGAAGTAAGAAATCAAGCTATACCCCTAGTCTGTTTGTTGAGTCCACAAGTCTTAACCGGACTCCATCAAGAGCCAGTAATTGCAGTCCTGCCAAAGACCTGGCCTTCCCCAGCCACATGACCTTTGTCTTTGATAGACTCAACATCAGCCAGCTCTCTCTCAACCAATGTGTCAATCACTGCATCTCCCTCAGCCAATCAACTACTTAACAATTAAGCCAGATTCATCCTGAAATCAGTTCTGTTGACAGGTGATGACTGCATGTTTTTAACATACTTTTGCTTTGGTTTGCTACTCTTATCTGTCAAATCTCCTCAATTTCATATTGCAAACCACAGAAGGACTCAGATTGGAAAGACCTGTAACTCTTCCATGAATAATTAAAATTTATTTTTAACAAAACTTTTCACTATACCAATCAGACAGATATTTACAAAAGTAGGCAAAGTTCAGCTGAAGCTCTTTTGATTTTCCATGTTCTAAATACTGATCCTCGTTTAAGTCTCTTAACAAGTTACTACTGCTTTAAAAAGAACATTCTAGAAGATAGATTCAGGTGGGTAGCCATGTTGGTCTGAAGCAGCAGAAAAAAGTTTGGGTCCAGTGGCACCTTTAAAAGCAACAAAGTTTTATTCAAGGTATAAACTTTCGTGTGCATGCAAACTTCTTCAGATATGGAAATTACCAGTCCATACATATAGGTAGAGGGTGAGCAGTAAATTCTGGAAGAGTTCCATTATATCGACACTGTAAGTCATATCAGTGTCGATATGAACAGCACCAAATGTTTTGGTAAACATTTCAAAATTTTGATACAAAATCCCATTACTATCCAATTCATATTTCCTTTATCCCCTTGAATATGTGACAAGGCCTCAGTTCTGTTCCCTCAAACGTGTTAATATAAGAATGTTCATGGTGTACTTTTAAATGTATGTAATGCATTTATGATCTTAAGTGTGCAAATGGTTTAGCATTTTATAGAGAAAGTCACAAACTTTGCTATCCTTTTCACAAGAACTGTCCAGAAATAATAAATGTATACAAACTGTTAATACTTAAAGCAATGTAATTATTATATGAGGCAGTGCTGTTGTTCCCAAGTCAAACAAAACTTAGCTTTGCTAAAGGGCTCTTTTTGTAGCAGGAACTCCTTTGCATATTAGGCGACAAACCCCTAATGTAGCCAATCCTCCAAGAGCTTACAGAGCTCTTCTTACAGGGGCTACTGTAAGCTCTTGCAGGATTGGCTACATTAGGGCTGTGTCGCCTACTATGCAAAGGAGTTCCTGCTACAAAAAGAGCCCTTTAGCAAAGCTAAGTTTTGTTTGACTTGGGAACAACAGCACTGCCTCATATAATAATTACATTGCTTTAAGTATTAACAGTTTGTATACATTTATTATTTCTGGACAGTTCTTGTGAAAAGGATAGCAAAGTTTGTGACTTTCTCTATAAAATGCTAAACCATTTGCACACTTAAGATCATAAATGCATTACATACATTTAAAAGTACACCATGAACATTCTTATATTAACACGTTTGAGGGAACAGAACTGAGGCCTTGTCACATATTCAAGGGGATAAAGGAAATATGAATTGGATAGTAATGGGATTTTGTATCAGCAATTTTAATCTTTTAATAATAATTAGCCTTGAATTTCAGAGAATCTGGAAAAAAATGAAAGGCTAGCTACTAGGTAATTCATATTAGAGATACAATTGCTCTGTCTCAGATAATTATCATACACTGTAGTACAACTACTTCGGAAGTTGGATCCAAACTCCCCCTTCCATTTGTGGAAAGGCACTTGTACAAGAAGGTGGCGATCAGTCTCCACCCATTTCCACTTCTAATTATAAACCAACTCATGCAACACCTACACTGTTTCTAAGGGTTCCCCAAAATGGTGTGGAGAAGCTATTTAGATGTATGGCGAGCTGTAGGGGGAAAAAAGAGGTGATAAAAATCCATTTCATGAGTAGAGCTCTGTTCACAGTTCTCTGGAACTAACCTATTGATTCTAAGCCAGGGGCTTTCATAAAAACTTGAAAATATGGCATGGAATATCGAGATCAAGCTAGCTTTATAAGAATGCTCAAGATATAGTAACCATTGTTCTATGCTTGGTGGTGACACACAATATTTAGAGGTGATGTAAGTGTAGTCTAATCCTGCATTTCCACATATATTGACATATTTCATGCCAGTAAAAGAATAGCTTGCAGATAAAAAATACCAACTTCTACACCCTTTGTCCTAAGAACTACACCCTTCTATATCCACTAACTTTGATGGACTTAGAACGATGTTAACTCTGCTTACAATTGCACTGTCAATGCTTTGAGTAATAGCAGTAGAAGGAATACTGGTATTCATACCAAACAATATTGTAAAAAAATATTTTCCTGTAGCTATAAAACAGAGTAAGTCTTTAAAATTTTATTTTATTTATAACTACAGGTTAATAATATTGTTTATAAAGATGTGTCTTACAGGTGTTCGCTTTTCAAAAATAATTTTGGATCCAGATTTCTGGTACGGCACTTGTTTTCATCATCCTAACTTTTCAGAAATTATGTTACTGGTTTGGGATTTGGGAGGGGCTCAAAATTTAGGAGGCTTTTTTTTATTCCCTCAGGTGGCAGGAACACAGACAGAAGGGGGGGGAGAGGAAGCCAGCCCTGGACTTCCATGCCAGCATCGTCCAAGCTAGAGGCTTCTCCCTACTGCCAGCCTCAGAGATAGCAGAGCTCAGCCCACAGACTCCTGAACTCCTACAAGGCTTGACTGTTGAAGTGGCCATTTCTTCCTTTGCCACAGGGGAGCTTTTCATTTTCTTAAAATCAGTAATTAAATAACATTATATAGGTATAACACTATAGCAATATATGTACCAGGTTCTCTGAATTTCCAGCTTTCATTAGGAAAAAAAACAGTAAGCCTCTAGGCTCTTCTGTTGATGAGATTAAAGGAAAAGACATGTCTCCATAAATAAGCCAGAGATTTATTTATTTATTAAAAAATGAAAGCTGGGAATTTAGAGGACCTGGTAAACCTCCAAGGTGCAAGAGGAAGTCACCACTGTAACAGCCAAGCTTTACAGAGTCCAGGAGCCTATCAAACTACCAGCCATTTTCTGGCTGAGGGGATGAGTTTTGCTGCAACCAGTGTTGTTGGTGGAAGAAGCCTCCAATGGGCACAATGTCAGCATAGTAGGTCCAGGGTTAGTTTGGTCCTTTACTTTTCAAAAATGATGGTCACAGTCACAGAACAGACCGAAAAAAGAAGAAACTGTGAGGTAACTGCGCTAGAAAATATTTAAATAATGATCACAAAATTTATACAAAAATATGTACAAAAATCTACACATATAAATGCACAAAGGCAGTTGAAAATGGTGAAATTGACAATGATCTCCAAAATGTTCTATCATTTCGATACCATTCTTTTTCCCGAACGTGGATGAAAGCAGCGCCTCTTGGTCTGTTATTTCAATAGGTACGTATCAACAATTTCATTAATTTTCACCGATGTATCGTAACACAGTTGCAAGAGATTCTCTGAAAGGACGTTCCTAGGGCAAAGTGCTTGTATAATGCTCACCAGTAGTATCTTCCTGCAAGCCCACATCAAATGCTAGTTTGTCCATTGATGTTCGTGAGGTGGAAAGGCAACAAAGATACTAAGTAAGAAAGAAGAGAAAAAATGCATCATTGTTTTGCTGCCTAGTTTTCAATCATTACATCATTTTGTTATTAATAAACTACAAGATAACTTGAGGGGAAATGAATATTTTATTTCATAGTATCAACATATAAAATTCTTGAAATAGTACATACATGGCATTGTATTCTTTACTAATATCTCTGTATTTGTTATCATTAGGGATGGGCATAAACCCCAAAAAAGTGTTTTGGTTTGGTTCAGGGGGACCCCTGAACTGACCAAAAAGGGCCTCACCTGAACCAAGATGGTCCAGCGAGTTCAGTTCCCCCTTTCTCCCAGCCACAGTGAGCCACTGCCAGGAGAAAGGGGGCAGGGACCATCCTGGAAGGCACTTCCCCTCCACCATTCTCCTGGCTGTGGCTCACCGGGGCCAGGAGAAGGTGGGGGAAATGTCCGGGAAGGGTTTAATGGCTGGCAGTCATTTAACCTGTCAGTTTTGCTTCTCCCCACTTCAAAGGGGGGAGCAAAACTGAGGGGTTGAATGGCTCACAGTTTAAACCGAACAGCTAAGCTGGTCCACCAGTCAGGTGTTAGGTTTAAATGACTGGCTGGCAGCCATTTAACCCTTTGGTTTTGCCTCTCCTCCTTTGAAGGGGGAAGCAAAACTGAAGGGTTAAATGGCTACCAGCCACTGAAAACTAACTGCTGACTGGCAGACCCACTCAGGTTTAAATGGCTGTGAGCTGTTAAAGCCCTCAGTTTTGCTCTTCCTCTTTGAATTGAGGGGAAGCAAAACTGAAGGGTTAAATGACTGCCAGCCAGTCATTTAAACCTAACAGCTGACCAGCAGACCCCACACCGATCAGCTGTCAGGTTTAAATGACTGACCCCAAACAGCTGAACCGAACCAGCCACAAGTCTGGTGAATGTTCAGGAAAGACACCTTCCCCAAACATTGGTTCACAAACTCTGAGCCAGCCCAAGTTTCAGCCGAATTTCAGTACATGAATCACTTAATTCCTACCCCTAGTTCTCATCTTTCCACATTACAAAAGGGTTGGTGGCAATACAACAATGGAAACTTGAGTTGCCTTGAAAGCTGGAAAATGTAAGTCCAAGCCAAGATTGGCACAGAGAAAAATAAACAGGCAATACAGATAATAAAAAATTGAGATCTCTCCCATCCCTCCCCAAATCACTAGAGTTGATGGTAGGCTAGAGACAATATACAGGTTCCAGAGGTGCTCTACCACATGAAGAAAGCTTCTGCTGTTCATGGAAGGTTTGCTCTACATCTTATATTTTAACATTGAATCAGAAAAGCAAAACTAAACCCAAAAGAAGTTCTTCTGCTTATTAAATGGCATGCACAAGATTTTGTGCAAATTTTATCACTTTTTTCTACCCTTCCTCCAACAAGCTTAGAGTAATATACACAGGGTTCTAGGCAACTTGTTTTTACCTACTATTAAATGAACAAAGAGTTGATAAATTCTTGATTTAGCTGTATTCTTGACGTTGCCTAGCAATGAAATCTGCCTCATACCCAATGTATCATCCCTTGAAGGTATCATTAACATAGGTGGCAGAAACTCTTTTTCAAAGTGGGTATTTCACAAAATAATTTGAAATTGTTATTATTCCTAGATATGATTCATTATATTTGTCCTTCATGGAAGTAACGAACAAAAGATTGCACTTCAAAGAAGCAGAGTAGCAGAAGAATCCACAGCTACTATAGCAAAAAGAAGAAGAGGAGATTGGATTTATACCCCACTCTTCACTACCCAAAGGTGTCTCAGAGCGGCTTACAAACTCCTTTCCCTTCCCCTTCCCACAACAGACACCCTGTGCGGTAGTTGGGGATGAGAGAGCTCTGATAGAGACTGCTTTTTTTTCAATAACAGCTCTTTTCAGAACTACGGTTTGCCCAAGGTCATCCAGCCAGGTGCAAATGGAGGAGTGGGGAATCAAACCCGGTTCTCCCAGATTAGAGTCCGCGCACTTAACCACTACACCAAACTGGCTCTCAAAAAGGACATTCTCTATGACAACGGCCTATTGTCCATAGTCTACAGCCCTATAATTCTGATATACTGAAAGAAAATCATATATATATATTCATACATACCATTCCACTATACGAATGGCGCAGCAAAATTGCATGTCCATAGAGGAGTGTTCGATGACCACCACCTTGAGCAGTCTGTATGAATTAAGAGAAGATTAAGATGATGGCATAAAATGAACCCTTTCTATAATAAATAATGGTTTGAAACCAATGAAATTAGTTATAGAACAGATCTCTCTGCCTTCTGTCTGCATCCCTGCAGCCTCTAATGCCGCCCCAAAAGCTGCTCCTGAGAATCATGGGAACCCCTGGAGAAGCAGCGTGGATTGTGAAAACTGCAGCAAGCTGGGAGAGACAGAAGCAATCACCCTTCTCTCACTTTCACAAAGCCTTACTCTCTTCACAGAAGAATTTGTGCAACAGAGAAAGCAGATATTTATGATTATTTCCACATAGCAGCTGGGTATTTTATAAGCAATTAAGCCAATGTTCTTTCACACACAAAAAAAATTGTAAAGAACTAGTCCTGTTTCCTATATAATTTAGAAAAAATAATTTTAGAATTTTGTCAGTGCATAGCATGGATCTCTCCTGGAACATTTTTCTGCACACTCTTAAAACACAAAATGCTCAGAGTATGTTCACGTATACTTCTCAGCTAAAACAAAATTTAATACAGGAGCCAAACTTCAAAGCAATACCATACAGTTTAGATCCCTAAAACAGTGAATGAAAACCATGCCAATTCTGCCTGCCAATCAATAGCAAGTGGAAAAATGCAGAGTATTGAGGCTAGTGCTTGCACATGTGTGTGAGCAGTCTGTCACTACAAATGTTGTGCTTAAGACTATGGGGAGAAATATATAAGAAGGACCTGTTTTCTAAATACGGTCCATGGAAACAGACTCTGAATAATCTAAATTAGCTGCCTGCATAAATTTCATTAATAGAATGATGCAGTATTTTATAGTCTTAGTTTAAGAATCGCAATTCAATTATTACCATCACTACTACTTAGGGCAACATGATAATAAATGTTCTTGATTCTACAACTATTGATCTGCTGGGAAATGACAAAAATAAACATAAGCTAGTAACATATTAAAGACTTGGCCTAGCGATTAACATTTCCAAGATAAAATATATGGTCTGTTTTCCCAGTAACAGATAGCCCGATTTGCAGGGATTTAAAAACTCCGATTTGCATGGAGTTCAATAAATCCATAATAAATCACTCTGTCAATTCTACCCTTGCAGCCTGGAATGTCAACAAAAATATTTATCATCATAGCTAGCTGACATAGCATTTCTATTATCAACTGCTGTTTTCAAGCATTTACAAAATAAAGTTTTAGTGTGGAGGCAGAAGTGGGGAGAAACACTGAGTAAGGGAAGTAGGGTGAGAGAAGACAGAGAGGTACAATGCCAGGCAGGAACTTGGCCAGAAGAAAGGTTCAGGAATGGAGATAGGCAGCCCCGTAGCTAAGGACTTTTTAGGGAGGGGGCCGGGGGGTGCCTGCTAATCCAATCAAAGGCTCCAGGGCAGGGGCTGCAGCAGCCACAGCCTCCGGGTCCAGCTCCCCCCCCCAAGGAGCCCCAGTGCCTCTTCTCGCGGCACAGCACCAGGGGCAGCCTCTGAAATCACTGCCCTTGTCCTCCCTGCCAACAGGCTGACAGGCAATAAGGGGGAGTTGGGGTAGGGGAGCCGAGGCTCAGGAAGGGGGCCCATAAAAACTGCTAGGGGGCCAGGCCCCGTGTTAGCTACGGGCCTGGAGATAGGGTAAGGGAAAAGCAAGGGACGAATTCAATAATGACAAGGGTATTGGATAAAGCTGCTGTGGGAGAAAACTGACAGAAAGAGAGAAGAAAGAAGAGGATTGAGGGCTGAGGGTAGGTTAATGAAGGGTATGGCCTGATGCAGAACATTTGGGAAGTGAATCTGCCTGGAGGGATGGGGGGAAGACATGGGGAAGAGGTGCAGAGGCTAAAGGGATGCATACTCTTCCAGTTTCTGCAGCTTGAGCTGGATTTCCAGTTTTCAGAAAGAGCATGATGGTGGAGGACAGTTTGGGGGCATGGACTGTTGGGGGTCATTTGGCTTTGGGGTATCTCAGCCAGCCCATCCAGATGTTTACAAGAGCTGAAAGTGACCTTTCATTGTCAGGACACTACAGAGGGGATGAAATGCCTCCTCAGCAATGGAGAGGAGACAGCAAAGCCAGAGCAGATATTTCACCAAGCAATCCCAAGTCTTGGGAGGGGGAGTAGAAGGGGAGTCGTGACAGCTGCGCAAAGAGGGGGCTACCAGATTCAGTGGGCTGAAGGCAGTCAATTGGGACAAGGACTGGGACAAGGTCACCGCGTGAAGGGACCAGAGGCCAGAAACTGACCAGAGGGCATGACTGTGTGAGACAACATGAATGGCCAAACTTTGCAGCCATAGAAGCCTGAGTAAGATTGTGAGACACTGAGCCAGATACTGAAAGCATACTTCTGACTGGTGATGAGGTAAGTCCCCTTGCTGTAGCATTTAGAGCTTGCAGTACTTGAACAACCAACGGGCAGAAGCCACAAGCTGGAGATGTACCCTCTAAATTTTAGGAGATGTACTGCCTGAACTTTAGGAGTAGTGAGCCATTACACAAGGCTTGTTAAAACATAATAAATCAAATCAAATCAACATGACCAGTAGGCTCTACAGCAAAGAAAAATGTGCATATAAACACTCTAAAGTCTATCCTGTTAGGTAAGTAAAAAATGTGTACTGATACAGGTATTGATGTGAAAAAATGACAGTTCTGAGGAACTCCAAGTCCTTGCAAAGCAGAAAAGGTCCATCTCAGTCCAGCCTGAATTTTGCAGGGCCAGGTTGGGGGGGGAGCTAGGCAGATGCTGGGTGGGGGCGGGTGGCCAAGCGGTGGGAAAGTTAGGACTTCCCCCCCTTCCCCTGGGGCCATTGGAAAGACAACAAGGTGGCCAGGGGAGGGCTGTTGCAAAGGGGAATAGACCAGCCACTTGCCTCCCGCCCCCATCCTTTGTCTGGCAGGCTGGGCAGAGCCGTGGAGGCCATGGAGGGCATCTGGATTTGTCACCCAGACAATTTTTATAGGTTGGAGCCCCTGTTCCGGTTGGATGGGGTGCATCTTTCGTCATGGGGCATGGACATCTGACTGCATGGAATTTGACATTTCCTACTGTCTTGACTGCAGCTGTAGGAGCATTAGCGGGAACTGGGCATGGGGTCCCACCTGGCTCTTGTGGTGGTAACAGCATGGGGCTGGATCAGTTTATGGAAATCAGCCTGCATGTCATTTTCCTGGATATGGGGACCCCCTCAAGGGGTCTTGGAGTGAGGGCTGATGGGAGTAAGCCTGATCAAGGACTACCAGCTATTCCCCTCACAACCTGATGGCAGGGAGACCACTAATGGGCAGTCGTCTGGGTGAGCTCCAGCAACCTGCCATCCCACTGTTCACCACCCATGCTGGCTGGCTGGGTGACAGGGTACATTGGCTGGTGTGGGGCCAGCTAATGCACTGGATCCAATGGGCCCATGCTATGCCAATGTTTCTTACAGCTGTAGTCAATAAAGTTGTGGCCAATTTACTCCACATATTTTCCAAATCTGTTGTGTGTGTGGTTCTTTCATAATGGATTGTATACAGCCAGCGGAACCTCTCCATCCCCCTTAAGAGCTGGAGCCTGCAAACACTTTTAAGGCAGTGATTTAGCACTACACAAAATAGTGTATCACCTCAAATGCCTTACAGAATTATATGGATATGTATTTATTATTCATTGAGGACTCAACGAAGCTTACATTGTTCTGCTCTCCTCCATTTTATCTTCACAACAACCCTGTAAGTTAGGTTAAGATGCAAGAATGTGAGTGGCTCAAGACCACCTTGCAAGTTTCAATGGTAGAATGGGGACTCGAGCCTGGTCTTCTAGACCCTCGTCTGTCATGCTAACCACTACATCACAGCGTCTGCTACTGAAACATAGCAACAAACAGTTGGTATCTTCTGGTTACTATTAGCACAAATAATGTTGCACCAGGCAGCCATGAAGGAGCAAGCATAATTATGCCACTACAAATATGAGAAGTTGCTGTCACTGGTGGTTGGTCAAGAATTTTGATCAGCGCAGCTAATTCAGTGTCATAGGCAACATTTCATTCTTTCTGAAGATCCACATTAAACAACTGAGTGGGATTTAATGCTGATATTTGGTTTAGTCAACATTCAACAGTATGCCATAATGAAAGCTTTACTAATGAGGCAGGCTATAAATAATTGAAATAAAATGATACACAAAATGAATACTGATGTATGATCATAACAGTGAATGCATGTCAGTGAATGAAGAGAGCGAAGTGCTGTTTTCACCAAGTAGATCTATCAAATACTACCCTGACAGGCATAACAGCAAATCATGCTTGTCATCCGCAAGGCAATTTATGTGTAAGGGATAATCACTCAAAGAGATACTTTGGCTGTTACAGCATGGGGATTTATTTATTTATTTATTGGTTCAATTTGTACCCCGCCCTCCCCGCAAAGCAGGCTCAGGGAGGCTCACATCAGTCAAACCTAAGTTGACACATAAATCACAATTAAAATCCACATAAAATAATTTAAAACAATCTGATGAAATCTGATAAAATCAGATTAACACTGAATTACTCTTTCACAAGTTCAGGATTCTTGCTAACAGTTTCTCACATCTACTTTTACCTATTTTCACAACAGATTACTCAATATTTACCCTTAATCAATCAGCTACCAAGCGAAACCTAATTCAAGCTGGCTCCATATTCCATTTTTATAGCTTGAAAACATGTATTTTAGTCAAATTTCATGTGAAGTGAGCAATTCTTGCCAACTATGTTCCTGAGATAGCTGCCATGTTGGTTAGAGGGACATACCACAGTCTTCAATATCTTTCCTTCAGAAAACAATGCAAAACCCTGTGTTTTATTTATTTGTTTCTGTTCAGAGGAGCTGCGGTGGCTCAAGTGGTTAAGACGCTGAACTGCAGGCTGTGGAAGGTCAGTAGTTCAGCAGTTCAAGACCCGGGTGCCGCATGATGGAGTGAGTTCCCATCTCTAGTTCCAGCTCCTGCCAACCAGCAGTTCGAAAGCAAGAAATTGCAAGTAGATAAACAGGTACCACTTCGGTGGGAAGGTAACAGCGTTCCGGGCGCCTTGGTGTTTAGTCATACCGGCCACATGACCACGGAATCATCTTCGGACAGCGCTGGCTCTTCAGCTTTGAAATGGAGATGAGCACTGCGACCCTAGAGTCGGATTCGACTGGCTTTCGAGCAAGGGAACCTTTACCTTTTTTTCTGTTCAGAAGGACTTCTAAAAGCTCCTTTTCAGTCCACAATCTCTTGTACATTATAGAAAGGCTATTTTACCATTACTGCTTTTCTCAAGTATTCTACATTTGTGTAATATTTCGTTAGTGTTACTGTTATTTTGTACTGTATTTTTGAGAGGTGTAAAATGTCCTAAATTCTTGTTGATTGGGAAGATCTAAATTAATTAAATAATTGTATTCAAGCTTACCTTCATCATAAACTTCTGGAACAACATGGAATAAAAGAAAAAGAGAAAAGATTAAATGTTATTGCCCATCTTACCTTCAAAATGCTGTTTCATTTTCTGGTTCTGAAAATGAAACTTGGAAGCACTGTTTATAATAAATATAGCATTATATTGGCATATGCAGGCAACCTAAATACACACTTTTCATATTTATCTAAATAAGAACCACTCTCATACTATGCAACGTATTCAAGGCCACCAAGAGGGGGCCAAAGTCAGCTTGAGTGCCTTTGAAGCTGGAATCATCCAATGTTCAGTAGGTGCATTTTATTTTACTTTTAGTGCAGTTCTGTACTACAGCCCCTTAGCAGTGCAGGGAAGCCGAGCAGAATAAGCTGCCACAAGCTCAGCTCTAACTTCTCGGTGCCATTCACTTCTTGGTACTGTTTGCCACCACTTTCTCAACAGCTTTTTTGGGGCAAACTCTCAGTGGCTGCAAACTTTTAAAAACTTTAACAAGGCTGAGACCAACAATTGCCTAAAACTTTAACAAGGCTGAGACCAACAATTGCCTATCACAAAATGTTGCTAAGCCCATTCAACAAACATGGTATGCCTTCTTTTCTCTCTCTTCCCCCCCCCACCTTCTAATTCTTCTACGTTGGTCACACACACACACACCTTTTTTCCCCAGTCTCACGACTTCTCTGTTCTTTTCATGAACAAAAAGAATCCCACGAATCTATTAAAGTAGTGAATGGGTGATCCCCTCCCTACCACCCCTCACATGCATTGTAATCTGTATTCATTTGTATTACTGTTTATAAATACAGAACAATAAATGCTTTAGGTGAATGCCCTCGTTCCAAAGCAAACAATACTCTAGCTTAAACATGTGGTTATAATCTTGTATGTGGTTTTAAAATGCATCTTATTTTAGACTTTGTTAAAGCACAAATGAGTCTGAGATCAGGTTAGAACTACAGCCCCTCGCCAATAATTAGAAGTGATTTAATCTCATGTTAAAGACTGTTCAGGCAATGAGTTGTTAATATTATTGTATTGATGGGACATCTACTTGGCCTTTTGTAAATGCAACTTTTCTACAGTAGGCATTAAAGAAGAAGAGAAGCGATTGGATTTTTACCCCACCCTTCACTACCCAAAGGTGTCTTGCTTCCCCTCCCCACAACAGACACCCTGTGAGGTAGGTGGGGCTGAGAGAACTCTTGACAGAAACTGCTCTTTTTCAAGAACAGCTGTGCCAGAGTTATGGCTTGCCCAAGGTCATCCAGCCAGGTGCAAGTGGAGGAGTGGGGAATCAAACCCTGTTCTCCCAGATTAGAGTCTGCATACTTAACCACTACACCAAACTGGCTCTCTCTTTGAGACTTTGATTAAACTTTGAATACAGCCTGTTTCATCAGATGTAAGAAGTGTATCCTGTATTCGCAGATCTGTGTGCATTAATATAAAATCATAAAATTAGAGTGCAAAATTGAGAGGCAGAGGATGTGCAAACTGAGTAGATGACAGGAAATCCTCAGGGGCTGATAAAAACAACAGGGGAGTTTCCAGAACCTTTATTAAATGAAAGAAGAGGGCATTTTGGCAGAAACATGTTGCCCCTGCTTATTTTTTTACAATGCTGAAAGCTTATATAGCTATAGAAGCTATAAAAATAGAGACTTTTAAACTAATGAATTCTGCAAAGAAAATGAAGAGTGAACTTTTTTTCTACCTCACTACCAGAGTTCACCCATAGTGAACTTGATTGGATCTCCCTTGGATCCACCCCCAAATCTCCAGGAATTTCCCAGGATGGAATAAACAACCCTACATGTGGCATAATTAATTTACTGAATAAACTACTATAAGAGGTGACCTCTACTCATTTAGAATCCTTTAAAAGCAGATTAGACAGATTCATGGAGGTAAGACGGTTCTGTGAGTGGCCATTAGCTATAATGGCTAAATAGAACCTCCACATTTTTTGGTGCAACTGTGTGGGGTGATAGTTGCCTTTATTCTCTGTTGGTGGGATTCACAGAAGCATCTGGCTAGCCAGTGTGAGAAACAGGACATTGGACTAGAGCAGGGGTCCCCAAGTTTTTTGAGCCCATTTTTGACCACCTTTGAAATTCTGACCCAGTGTGGTGGGCACAGCCAAAAAATGGCTGCCACAAGAGGTGCCACAAGAGGTGCAGTCAGCCACAAAATGGTTGCTGCAGCTTACCTTCAGACACATATTGAAAATGCTTGTGCTGTGGTGGCAGCTGCTGTCAAAGCAATGTTTTTTTTAAAAAAAAAAACTGCACAGCAACCAAAAGCCTTACAAAAACCCTACCTGGCCCCTCCCAGTTTCTAAAAACATTTGGTGGGCACCAAAAAAGTTGTTGGCAGGCACCAGAAGTGACTTCATCGTGCGGCCAACACTGCATGGTGATGCTCTAGTTTTGGGGCAAAACTCTATGGTTTGAGCCCAATTTTACCACAGAGTTTTGCCCAAATACTAGAACATCACTGTGCAATGAAGGTGGCGTGATGACGGCACTTCTGGGTGATGTCATCACACACCACATTTTGGGGCATTTGCAGGCATGGAGGAGCCTGCAAAAGTGGCAGAACCCCTGACCAGACCAGGGGGCTGGCAACTCTACATGTTGGGGACTAGAGAGAACTCTGGTGTGGTCCAGCAAGCCTCTTATTTTATTCTGATGAAAGGCATAGGGCATTATAGTTATCCTATTCTCATTTTAAAGGAGGATTGAAAAATATAATTCAGTGATCCCACTGCTTCCTTTGCAACTTTAAGTATTCTACTGGATTATTACATTGTGTGGCGAAGAATAAATAATCAAATAAATAATAATCAAATAAATAAAGGGGACTCCAGTTTTTCAGTCTTAAGGGGAAAGCATTCTATGCATGCCCAGAGGTATGTTTCTTCTGGAATGTAGCCTGTGCTGAAAACAAACTATTGAAATCTTGACACAAACTGAATTATTAGATGAGAGAAATTCTAGAGGGGTAGCCATGTGAGTCTGTTGCATCTTCAGCCTTATCAGGATAGTTTCAATCGAGCAATCTGCCCCTGTTCTTCTGCAGAAAGCCAAGTGATGTATTTTGTTTTGGATCAGTGTCATATGGAGGGGACAGATTGACTCTGTTTGAGGGGCACAGCAGCCTTGAACACATTAACAATCACACATTTAATTACAGTTTCAGGTGGGTAGCCGTGTTGGTCTGAAGCAGTAGAACAAAGTTTGAGTCCAGTGGCACCTTTAAGATTAATGAAGTTTTATTCAAGGTATAAGTTTTCATGTGCAAGCACACTTTTCCAGATACAGTGAAACAGCATTTCCTCAACCAGTAATAATTGAGGAAATTCTGTTTCACTGTATCTGAAGAAGTGTGCTTGTACACAGAAGCTTATACCTTGAATAAAACTTTCTTGGTCTTAAAGGTGCCACCGGACTCAAACTTTGTTCCACAAATAATTACAATTACTATAGAAAGAAAAATACACAGTTGACATTAAGTGCAATATTTTTATAGTACATCTAGAAAGTTCATTTGCTATATTTTAAAAAATGCAGTGACCCAGACAATAACTCTTACAACTTTTCCTACAGGAAGCAAAGAGGATGAGGGGGAATTACTATTAACTAATGGATAACAATGCCAAAAAACTGCATCACTGCATATATTATCTATCCAAAGGAATTGTATAGATCTTGTCAAAACAATTTTCCATGCAAGTTATAATATCACTGTGACAGAGTTCTTACAAGGTTTCACTTTGAAATTATTGTAAGTCTTTATGCTGCACTGAATAACAGAACAAAAAGGGGCATTACATTATTTTAATATCTAAGTTAATATTCATTCATACCCATGGCTACTTGCGGGGTAGGGCGGGGTAGAAATACCTAAATAAAATAAAATAAAAATAAAAAATTTTGGTAGGACAATGTAATTTTAATCCATTTTCTTCCACAGGGCACCTGAGATGCACTGCCTACAACATCCTATGACCCCACGTACTTGCTTCCAGTGATTAATGGTATCTGGTACCTGATCATAAACTGAATGTTAGTTTATGTACCTGGAACAATGTCCCTGCACTATGCATGTAAACCCATGGTGTATGAAAGACTGCACTGGAGAGACTACACTGCTTATATAGCAAGCCTTCACTCAATAAGAATTAACATGAACTTGGACTTATCCTTTCCACAGATGTTCGATCCAGTTTTCTCAGCAGGATAAAACAGACAAGATTTCCAAAAGTCAATTTGCAGCACATCTACCAAAGCTTGAAAAATTAAACTCTGCATAACCAGTTCTCATACGTAGCCAGAAATGGCCACTGGAAAAAATAATTATAGAACATTGGGAATATGTACAATGTGAGATAACAGACATTTATCAATCTCCAACATTTTATTCTGTCTTTCCTCTAAGGAGCATACTTGGTTGTCCCCTCCATTTTTTCCTCAGAACAAATCTGTGTTGTAGGTTAGACTGAGGGTGTAACTAACCCAAGATCACCCAATGAGTTTCATGGCTGAGTAGATATTTTAACTCAGGTTTTCCCAGTCAAAGTCCAACTCTCTATTCATTACAGCACACTGTCTCACTGTCACAGTTATCAAAGAAAAGAAAAGGGTAATTTCCTTATATCTGTTCACACATATTCAGGGAGTCAGTGCCAGAGGGGCTTGATCACACTCTTATGGAAAGGAAACTTATCAATATGTCCAAAATCACCTATTTCATGCTCTCCTCAGGTTTATGATCCAACTGATGAGATGCACCAAAGCATCCGAGGGACTGTTATGCCAACCCCTAACTAAGATGTTTAACTATATAACCAACCAGGCAGGACCTCCTGTAACACCCTCTGGCTAGATGTCTTCAAGAAAGCTCAAGAATCTGCTACATAATATTGAGCAAAGTACTAGACAGAATTGCCATTATACATATGTCGTCAGCAGATATCCTGACAGAGAATGATGCCAAGGTGGCTATGC